CTCGTGTCCTGGCCCAGATTACAACATGAAATGGCGGCGACGGCGGCCCAGTTCGTTGCGGGCACATCCGCCATCGGCCAGCGTCTGGGCACAGTTTGGGTGTGGGGCATGTGTGCGCTTTCTATTAGGCTGCAGTCGGCAGAGAGTGCAGTCAGCCGTGCAGGCGGACAACCGTAACATGACGTTTCCGTGTCCGTGTCCTGGTCCTGGTCCTGGTCCTGGTGACGGCAGCTGCTCGGCCAGCTTCAGCTATAGTTGGAGCCAAACTTTTCGTCTGTCTAATGTTTCAACAATGTTGTTGTTGCTGTTGCGGCTGTTGTTATTGCTGCTACCTGCGGCACAACTATGTTGCAGCCACAAATTTTCGTTTTTTTTTTTTTTTCATACTCTGTTCACGCGAGTGTAGGGGAGTTTATGCGCATGCAACTATCGACCTTGAGGAAATTAATTTCTGTTGAGTGTAGTCGTGATTTTGGGCAAATGGAATTCTGATAATAAAACTGAACTGTTCAAATGGACTCTATTCGATCTGTCTTAGCTGGCAATAGACTGCGAACAGAGTATTGCACAGTCGACTGCAACAAGGTGCCTCTTTCTGGCTTGGCTAATAAAAACGCGTCTGCTCCTTAGGCGCGCGCTCTGTAACTGTAGCTGCAGCAGCTGCTAGCCCAGAAGTCTGTTGCAGCCGATTCCTTGCGTTTTGCAGCTGCTTGGGCGCCAAAATGGACTGAAGCTGTTTGCCATGCTATACGTTTTTGAGTGCTTTATGGCCTAAACGTGATTTTCAGCTTGTCTATTAAACATTCTGCAAGGAGTTTTTGTCCTTCTGCCAGCTGCACGTTGGCTTCTGTCTGTGGCCTTGGCTTTCTCTGGCCGCTTCTCTGGATTCGGCAGCACGTTTGGCATTTGGGCAACAATTGTTGAAACATGTTGTCATCCAGTTAGTTAGTTGCCATGTTTAGCATTGTTCTTGCAATTGCTGCCTGCTGATGTTATTGTGTTTACTTTTCCGTCACGAATTAAGTGCGAAATGCTGCTCTTAGCAAAGCGCTTGAGAACTTTACATGAACTTAGCGTAACACGAAGTTTACGCTACAAAATGGAATTTATAATCCGTGCAAATTAATTATTAAAATAAAAACATTTAGGGCTTAAATTATTTCAAATGAGCAACTCTGAAGTCATGAATCCAGAGTACGAGTTTGGGCGACATTAAAATGTCTCCAGCTATTTAAATTTTTAACGAACAACAAAATTTAATTGTAATAAAAAACATGTAATCAGAGTTTCAATACTGAGTATAATGTTATAAAGGGATCGAAACCTCTTGAAGACTTACAAAAAGCTTAAAACATCTTATTGGAAACTCTTCACCGAGCATCGAGTAAGGAGATCGAGTTGGCAGTGCAACATCTTAGATTGTTGCTACGGTCCCAATGCAGCTGTGCATAAATCAAATGGCCAAAGTAAATATCCGTTTTAATGCTAAACTAGCTGGACGTGCCTTTGGGGCAACTGAAACGCAGTGAAAGTTCATAAATCACTGGTAAACAAACATTTTTGGCCAGAAACCACTTCAATATTTCAAATTGTGCAATCCGGGAATTCGGGACCTTGGAACCGCCGCGACGCTTTCTCACGTGCAGGTTACAAGAGGAAATGCGCTGACAAACAAAGCCAGAGCCCGTCAAGAAGCCAACTTCTTGGCCCAATTACGTTTCAGGTGAGGCTTTAGCATAATGAAAATTAACTTGCATTTTCGGGCGAATCATGGCCATGTGCCACGCCCCTGATTGTTGCAGTTTTAACATTTGCTCACGCAATTCTACGGTTTCCAGGCACCATCAATTTTATGCTGGCAAACACTTTGGTTTTGTTTGTCGCACGCTTAACAGGTAACAGGTAATTGCAGTTTGTGGTGCAATATTGCAAAACTTGGTAACGGCAGTAACGAGTGAACGAGGCCACAAGCTGTAATAAGTCAAATGGCTGAAAGCAGATACCCTGTAACTCCTTTAGAATTTAATGGGTGGAGAGATTAACCTGGATGCATCTAGCTTACGTTAACAATATACAAGAAACAGTGCGTGCAGCTTTTGGGGCACATCAAGCTTTTGGAATTAGCTGTATTCAATAAATTTAAGTTAAAGCTAAAGTCTACAATACTCGATAAACTTAATAGTAGCTTTTAGATCACATGAGTAGCTTAGAAATCACCTTAAAGCTACGAATGTTGACTTCAAGCAATAAAGCTTACTTTAAGCTCAAGTCTAGAATTCACAACCAACTGATTTGGCGGATGTTAAAGCACATTTAAAATTCATACAAACTTTGTCTGATTTCAAGCTCAGGAAAAAACACATGAAAGCTACAGTCATTGACACAAAATATTAAAGCTCATTAACAGGTCAAACCAAGGTTCAAAGCTCAAATAAACTCTAAGGCCTTCACAGCTTTCTGCTGCATTTTATCTATTAAAAATTACAAAAAATATAAATTAAAGCGGGACACTTTTAATTTAAACATTCCCGAATCAACATAACGAATGAATATCTTAATACTACACTCACTTCTGTCGCTACCCCATTCAACTATCGTTTACAGGGTAAAATTATGCTGCACTCAATTTAATTACGTTGCCAAATGGCGTGACTTTGACTCGTTGGCAGCCTTTGCCGGGAATTGTTCACTGGCTTTTATAGGGCCACAAGTCGATGCTTATTAAAACTTAACACTTTTGGTGCGCGTGCCACGCCTCCAGGCAGCGGGAGTGGCAGTTGTTTTAGTTAACTGCTCCCAGGCGTCATCATTGCCATACTTATGGGTATTGCCAACTTTGGGCTACCCAGAGAAGGGTGTCGGATGGCAGGGGGTTGGGTATTTGTGGAGGCCCGGGTCAGGTGTTGTGAAAACTTCTAGATTTTCATGTTCGATGAGTGGCGCAACCATTTACGAATATTGCAGCAAGTTATGGTCTCGGGAAAGCGGGCGAGGGTATGGGGGCAGCTAATTGAACTTGTTGATGATGGCGGCAAATATTGCCGCAGGCGGCAGGTGGCAGCGGTAGCGGCAGCTTCAGGTTTCACTTTGCATTTTCAAAATGCACACACACACACACACACAGACATACACACACATAGATTGCACAAGTGCTGCGTTAATTGATGTCAAGTGTGCTGTGCGAAATACACGTAAGTTGCTCACCTTTTTGGGCCAAGCCAACGGGAAATGAGTTGCCGCTGGCAATAAAGCACATTAAATGCTTATGCAATTTTAATGGCTTACATCTGCTTGGCTCCACTATTCTGAGATGCCTAATTGATTCCGTTTACCAATCACATTCTATAGTTTCTTTTTGGCCAGGGCAGGCTGTGCGCTTATTTGCCTAGTTATTTTTGAAATACTTCAAACAGTACATATGAAACTGATACTAAAAGAGAATATTAGAATATGGTTTGCATGAAAGCTAATAAAAGATTAGGCTCAAGATCAAGCAAATATGCTGGCTATTTCTTATAATGCCAAGCAATGTGACATTTTTGACTTTCTAAAAATACCTGACTGTCTCAGGCCAATAAAGAGCCCATGTACTTAGCCGCTGCACTTAGCAATAGCTATATCTAACTGAAGGCTCAACTGGCCGGTTGCCCATGGCATTAATAACAAGTAAGCCATTTAAAAATATGACGCATAAAATGAAGCTTAAGGAATCAATAATAACCAATTAGGGGCAACGTTCCAGAATAGCTGCAGAAATAATTAACGCATCACTAGCAGCAGCATAAACCAAGGCAAGGAAGCCGGACCAGAGGCAGGAGCAGCAAAAGGAGCAGAAACAAAGCGCTGCTCCAGGTGAACAGTGGGCCATAATTAATTTTTTTTTGTTCACTTTAAGCTGAAGCTGACCAGTTGAAAGATGAGCAAAAACAGCAGCCAAAGTAGCCTTGGGACAAAGGTTTCCCAGACAACGACTAAGCGGCAGTAGGAAAAAAAAATTAAATTGAAAGACAAGTGAAATGTGGCAAAGGATATGCCCGACTGTGTAATTCTCTGCGCATTTCTTCAGAGCTAAAAACGAATGGATAGAAGAGCCGAAAGATTCTTAAAATGTGAAACGTAGAAATTGCACAAAACAAATATTAGACTGTAGCAAAGGTTATACAAATATAAAAAAAATATACTTGATCATATTTGTTATCCTTGTACAGGGTGTTATAACTTGGTCATAAAATGTGTATTTGCAATGCTGTTAGGCAAATGTCCACCAGGGTATTAAATATTTGGCAGGTCAAAGATATCCTTGCAGTATAATAAGAAATCCATAAATATTTCAATTTCAACGTGGAGTCAATAATAAGCACATAACAAAAGTACAGCTTTGACAAAATTATGACAGCTTAAAGTATTGGTAGAGTATTTAATGGAACTTGATTTTAAGTCGAAATTTTATAAATTAAATGACAAAGAAAATTTACATTGAAGAGGCGTTTCACAATAAATTTGACAGCCACCATTGACAACAAAGAAATTTTAATTGTAATTCTAATTTTCTTTTCCGGAAATTTTAAGTGCTTTACATTTCTCAGAAAACAAATATTAAATTATGAAAAAAAAAACATGCAATGCAAAATTAAGCCAAGTGTCATTGAACAACAAAATCTGCCTAGTTCCTAGTTAAGTTAATGGAGTTTATAGTCAGGAAAGGGCATGAATAAGAAACCAAGTCATGAAAAGAAGACAACTGACAACTTAAAGGGTATTTCATAGTCTAACAAGGTAACGTATGTAATCTGTCTAAATGGTTTTTTCCATTCTGTTTGGCCCTTATTGGGAGTTAAAGCAGACCAGCCTTATTATAACTATTTTTAAATGGCATTCAAAGAGCCTGAACAGTAACTGTGAAGAGTGGGCTGATATGTTGGCTGGCAAATTATGGTTGAAAGTGGCAGCAACTGTGATTATGAGCGAGGGGAACATTTGCAGGCACTGTACACACTTACCTGTGCTGATATGCGTCCCTTCTTCAGTCGCGTGAGATCCGTGTGGCTCCAGTGGCTGCGCGCCCAGGGCACAACGTTGCGTAAGTCCTCATCAAAGCTGGCAATAGAAGAGAAAAAAAAAAAACAGAGTGGAGGAAAAATAAGGCAAAGTTCGTTTAAAAATATTAATTGCAGTTGCGTATTGCAAAATTGTGCTCACTTGAAGTCGTTGAGTTTGTTATGCAGGAACTTGCGTATATTCCAGGGTAAATCGTTATGCCCATCGATTAAAGGCACTTGATCCAAAAGCTGCACAGCGACGCGTAAGCGCTCCTCAAAGGGCGCACCTGAAAGGCAAAAGGATGGAGAGAGGGTTCATAAAACCGAGTTAGCAGCAGCTACTAACTAACTTGAACGCATTAGCACGACACACAAAGATACCAACACTGTCAGACACGACTGTGTGCGTCTCTTGACATTTTGAGCTCTGGCTACGTGTCGTATGCGTTATGGTAATTGATTTATTGTCCGGATAGCTGAAAGCTGGAATCTAGTCTAGGAGCTAGCTCTCACTACTACTCACTTGCAGCAACACGTAGCGCCAGGGGCACAGCCACACTGGCAGCGCCAATTATCAAGAGTATCGAGCTGACTGCCAGCCAATGCTTGGCCGCATCGAAGCCTGGACAAATGTTACGTATACGCAGCGTACGACCAGTAAGCAGCAGGAGCAGCATTCATGATGACCAGGCACAGCGATTGTTGTCCATGTTGTTGTTTTAGTATTCGTTGTTTTTGTTGTTGCCAGTTCAATGCCAAGTCGTTTGTTGTGCAGCCGGAGCGACGTCGTCGTCGTCATCATCATCATCAGCATTGTCGTTGTTTGTGTGTTGCATTTTGTGTGCAGGGGTGTGTGTGTGTGTGCAAATTGCCGTGACAGTGGCATTGATTACAGCAGCAACAAAAACAACAACAGCAACGAGTCGATCGTGTTTTTTCATCGTATTCCCATCAATGTGCAAGCAGCGTAGTTGTAAGGATAATAAGGAAATATGGTTAGTTAAACGTTTAAAATTGAATTGCTTAGTTGGTTTTGCTTTACAAAAGACGAACAATTTCTTGTTAACTGAGAGCTGAGTCAAGTTTTATGAACCATGAAATAAGTTGTGTGTGTGTTTTTTTTTTGTGTGTGTGCAGATAAAGTGCCGATGGTGGCCATGAGCAGTGCTTACAACTGACTTATTAGCTGCATTATTATGCAACTCAAAAGACTTAAGAGCTTTTGTGTGCTATCAATGAAATGAGTTGAAATGAAATTAAGCCAATGATATTAATCACATGATTATGTCACAAATAAAACCAGTCTATTGGGAATAGTAATTTGCAGAATGCTGTAGATTAAATTTGCTTGGAAAGAGCTGCCATATGCTTCTATGTATACATATGTATATATTTATCGAGCCACACATGAATTTAATTTAAGTTTTTCTCTGACTCCGCGTTTAGATCGCAACCTGTTAACTAGGCCTTGAACTCGCTTGTTAAATGGCCTGTTAGCTTTCCTGTCATTTTATCTGTTAACTCGCCTATTTCGTGGGCTGTTGAATCTCCAGTCAACTGGAATGTTAACTGGGATGTGAATATGTTTAATAACTCTGATCTCTTAACAAGAATGTTAACTGGTCTTTTAACTTTTCTGTTAGCTAGTCTGTTAACTAGCCTGCCAACTAGCCAGTTAGCTCGTATATTAGCTTGGCTGTTGACTCGTCTATTATTATTATTATTATTATTAGATCGCCTGTTAATATAATTTTGAACTCTGATGTTAGCTGAGCTGTTTACTGCAATCTTAACTGGAATGCTAGACAGTTGTTTAACTCGGCTGTTAGCACTTGTCTACAATTTGTAACCACTTTTTTGTGATCGAAACTCTGCCCTTGAATTGGCTGCACATTTCTGGACGAATTAATACTGTGCTGGTTTGAAAAAGAAGTAGAAACTAAGCTGATGCAAATGTGAATCACATTATGCGATTTGGTTTGGTCTCTCAGATACTTGTATCAATAGCAAGTGCTCAATTTTAATTGCAAACCAAATTCGATTATGCAGCTTAGCCATTTGATAGGGCAGCTAAGCAAACAAGTCAGCTGAGGCATGAAACTAGCTCAGTTCAGTTCGGTTTTTTTCTCTGCCACTGCTTGATTATGGAAAGCTCGAAACTCGCAGGGCTCTGGCTGGTCTCTGGCTCCAAAGTGAATTACCGATAAGCAAGTTGCAAATGGAGAGCATGTGCGGTAGCTGGCAGCCAAATGTTGCAGCTGCTGCTGCCAAAGTGGCACGTGAGGCGGGCGGCGGGCGGCGGGGCGGCCATCAGCGATTTGCATAAATTTAACATGACAGGACATCGCCAGCTACGCAGTTTTTGGACGGGGGGCGTCTAACTAACGAACTGCAGTTAGCCAGAGCGATAGAGAGAGAGAGAGAAAGAGGTAGACACTATGCGCCCCTTTTAGACCACACGGCTGCTGATGGGCACTTGATGAGGACGACAAAGTCACGCGGGCATTGGCAACGTTTAACATTAAGCGGCCATGTTACATGGGACGCAATCAAACGACTAACGACTAAATAGAATTGTGTGCCCCAAGTGGGGAGCAGCTGCTGCTGCGGCCAGCACAGACGAGTGCAATGTCAGGTAACAACAAGCCAGGGCTGCATGCCACCAAATGAACTAGATCAAAGTAGGTTTCTAGAGAATTGAATGAAATGTGGCATGTGCATGAGCAGATAAAATGTCTAGTTTGATTTATAGATATTTCGATTGATTGCTGCCAAATAAGATAAATGCTTAGCTAGCAGCTAGTTCCTGTTCTTGCCTTGTTTTAGTTGTATGTTATCAAAATGTTAATTTGGATAACATGTGTTCTACTCTTTTTTTGTGAATATAAAATGTAAGCCAATTATCTAACTCTCAATAAAGAATAACAATACATACATATTTATCATTTTAACTATAATAAACAGTTAAGGATTGGTAAATAGTTATCCAGCCCTTGTGCAACTTACGAAAGGAATTTGTGCCCGAACTGGATGAGCCACGACTGGGGCACTGTCGATGTTTCCATGGCATGATGCTCGTGACGCTCGAGTGCAGCTGATGATGTTTCTGCGGCGTGGCCGGAATACCGCCAGTTGGCCCATGATGCAGCAACGAATGCGCCACATCGTGTGCATGATAATGATGCGAATGTGGATGCGAATGTGTGTGGGCATGGCTATGTGGCTGGGACTCGAGCTCTTTGAGTATGCCGCTGCTGTTATTGCCACTGTCGAAGGAGTTCATCGTAAAACTGGAGGAGGCCAGCGCCGATGATTGTTGCATTTTCTGATACGGCACACGGCAGCCGCCATCAATGTCCACCAAATTGCCAAAGCTGCGACTATTCATGGCCAATGTCCAGTCCATGCTACTGGTGTGAAATATTTGTGCTGGCTGTGCCATATCCAGGCTCTGCTTGGAGTCTGGCTGCTGCTGCTGCAATTGTTGCTGTGGCTGTGGCTGCTGCTGTGGCTGGTTGCTCGGAAAATTGAGCAGCGATTGTGAGAAGCAGCGACAACGCTGCTGCTGAAAGTGCGCCAATTGCTGCTGCTGATGCTGCTTCTGCAGGTAGCGGCTGTAGTGGGCCAAATGTCGCGCATAATCGCTGCTAGGCCCGATTGTGTTGTATTTGCTCAGCATTGGAGCAACAGTTGCTGCTGTTGTTGCAGCTGTTGCAGCTGGTGTTGCTGCTGCTGTGGCTGTGGCTGGCACAAAGCACAAGCTGGGATCCGATTTTTGTGCTTGCGGCGCAAAGATGTTGTCCTCCTCGTGTGCGGCAAAGGGCGGGTGCTTGGCTTTGTTTGGCTTATTAAGGCTATGGGCGTGGCAGTTGCCATTGCTCAGCGGCTGGCACAGATCCGGCTTGGCATTGCTGTTGCTGCCGCCGCCGCCGCCGCTGTTTGCGCACTTCAGCAATGTGGCCGCGCATTCGTCCAGAGCCGTTTTGGTGCAATCCTCAAGCAGATCGCCGTTGCACAGCTGTGCCATACCCAGGGCCAGATTGTTGTTGCTCTTGGGCAATAGTTGCTGTTGCTGTTGCTGCTGCTGCTGCTGCTGCTGTTGTTGCTGCAGCTGCTGCAGCAGGCGCAGACTGCGCATGCTGCCGTTTCGCTTCAGTGCGGGCGGCGGTGGCACGGGCGGTATAATATCCACATCCGACAAGCTGGGCGTGTCACTTAACTGGAAGAAGCAGTAGAACAAGGCGTTTAATAAATTGAAAACGTGCAGCTGTTACAGCAAAGGAAATTGTATTAAATCAATCGACTTGGCCAACTTCCGGCTTAGAACTTATTGCAAAATGTGCGCTTCAGGCACAGTTTGCCAAACAGTTTCGCCAGCATTTTGGCCTGGTTGAAAGGGCATTCAGCCTGGTATAAGTTTGGGTTTGTTGGGAGTAAAAGAGGACATTTCAACGATCTTGTTAATTATACCTTATCTTGGAATACTTCCAATATAAATAAAAATTACGGAGTCTGAAAGATTATCTTTATAAAACTTTGTTTAGATACATTCTTTTACCAGAGTCTATTATTATTTATAAAGTTGCTTTGACGCAAGTCCTTGCTGTTGGTATGACTAACTTTTAAGATTATGCTGCAAACATGTATCTAATGAATTTCAACTAATTCCTAAGAATATGAATACCAAATCAACTTTCAAGGTATATTCAATCCATTTTAATAAAGCGCCTTGAGGTATGCTACACATTCGCAAATTGGCGAAATTGTATAGAAAGAGATTTGGGAGCAACACATGCGTTTTGCAGGTGGCCGCCGGCTACATGAAATTTAATTATGCCATAGACAGGAGCATATAAACACACACACTCTCACACACACACACGCACACGTACAGCAAAAAGGGCGTGCGAAAAAAGGGCATGAAAAAGGTTTATCGGTGAAAAAGCATAACTCCTGTATACTGTTGCCCAGTTTCCAGTTGGCCATCTAAGTGCGCAATGCGTTGTTCGTGTCCTAATTGAATTTGTTACGGTCAGGTCGAGCCATCAGCCTTATCCTCATCCTCAGTCCCGGCCTCTACATCATTATTATCATCGGGCAACATCATAAACATCATCAAAAAACACCGACGCTTCGGGGATTCGAAATTGAATTCAGTTACGTGAAATACATTTGCATTGATTTGCTTTTTATTTTTATGCGTCTGGCCGAAACGAAACGCATTGACATTAATAAAAATTTCCTTTGAATTTTGATTGCTTTATGTTGGCCCCCGCAGACCTAACCCGCCACGCCCCCACTTGCTATTGTTGTCGCCTGTCGTGTTGCTGTTGATTATTTTTATTATTTACTTAGTCTTGTCCTGTTGGGGACCATCCACCCAGCTGCCCCACCCGGCACATGACCGGGCATGTCCTGTCGCTGCTTAAGTGGAAATTGAAAATTTTCATATTTTCATTACACAGCGCTGGTAATTTCCTACGCCTGTCGCCGGGCAAAACTTAAATAATTTATGCAAATATTTTGCGGTGGCATCTCTTGCATAACTTGCCCGCCGTCCAACAGGCTGGCCAATTTGAAAGGACGCGCTGATTTTATGGGGCCCAGTTTTTTTTCTTGCTTATTTCTCGAAAGTTTCTAATAGCCAATTAGCTCGAAAGCAAGGTTTATATGGAATATATAAATATTTATTATTGTGGTGTTGGCTTAAGAAAAGACAAGTTTGTAAACCAGTTAATGCAACTAATCTGTGTGCAAGGCTTTACACATTGTTACTAGGTTATAAGCTGATTTTATATTTAATAAAAAAATAATAATTATTATGAAATTTAATTAAGACTTGAGTTAAAACTGAATGGCGAGCAAATTATTTGATAATTTTCTAATAATAAATAAATTAATCAATGGACCTTCGAAATATATCGGAAAAATATATGTTGAATTTAAATTGTCGATAAAATTTCGATATTTGATTTTAATAAGTAAATAAATACGGAAAGGTCGCCAAAACTATCAATGTATAAGAAATATACTAGAAATATCTGTATAGAGTTTAATAATTATAAATATATTTGAAATCCATTAATAAATTGAAACTCAAGCTAAGAAAAAGCAAATACGAAAACTAAGCTTCAAGAAAACTAAATTAGACTTCAGCTATTAAAAAAATATCAAAGGAAGTATACATAAATAGAGTATCGTAAGTTCATCTTTAAGAATAATAATATAAAGTGCGTCCTTAATGCTGTCACATATCAATCAAAAAACCACAAAGAGTAAATTATTTCCATTCTATAATTCTGCTTATATTAATTTGTCTAAAACTTATTTAAATAGAAAACACTCAAGCTTGATTTACCTTAGTTCAGCTAACCAAAAAAATCAAATTCATTTAAAATCAAGCTGAGCTCTTAGCGCTTTGACATATCAATCAAGCAGTCACTTGGGGTCAATAATTTGGTCTCATAATAATTGGTCTACAATTTGTGAAAAAAAATTCGCATGCAACAAAGCACATTCTATCATAATTCAAAAGTTATGCCCGTTTGCGCAGGAGACCCAAAGTTTGCAAAGTATATACTAATTAAAGGCGGAGCGAGCGAGTGCAAAGGTCCCAAGCAACATAAATATGCTAGCGTATGCACTTTGAGCACACTTCTTTAGCTTCTCGCTGATTTCCACTCGGTTCTCTTTGCGCTTCAAGTAGGAGTCATTCTTGCATGCATATGCATATGCATATGCATAACTCCCTCCTGGGGCGCTGCTGGTTAACTGCGCCCCAAAGTATGCAACATTATGCTGCATGCTGTGTATGCTTATTTGGCGTTTATGCCACAAATTGGACGCCATGTTTATGAGCTGTGTGTGCGAGGGTCCACAGCACGGACAGGGGCAGGAACAGGGACAGGGGCAAGGGCGGGGCTTATGAGTGGCACCACAGGACTTGGCTAACCGCAGCTTGCTGCTTTTTTGAGCATTAAATTGCTTGATATATCGTTGCATAACTATATGCAGATATATATATGTTTCCTTTAGTTTTCGCTCGCGACTTTTAGCTTAGCTTTCTGTCCACTATTTTCGCCGACTGCCGACTGCCGACTGCTGCTCTCTGATGCTTTTCCGCGTGCTTTTCTTCTTTTGAATTATGCGCGTCTTTGTCTCGCCTTAAATTTCATAATGCACATTTTATAATAATTTTTCGTCTACTTTGCGGCAATTTTGTGCAATTTTTTACCATAATTTATCTAAGTGTGTGTGTGTGTGTGTCTCTGTGTGTGTGAGCATTCATCATTGTTTTTTTTTTTGCAAGTTTCTCGCTACAGTTACGAATTTTCTGCAGCTCAGCGTTGCGAATATGCTCAAAGCTCTATGGGTTGTATGCAAGCGTGTGTGTGTGTGTGTGCGCGTGTGTGTGTGCATGTGTGTGTGTGTGTTTGTCGGGCGTAATGTTGAGTTATGGCAGTTTTGTAGTTTGCGCAAAACTTTTTTAACGCTTCTCTTACGTAGCTGTTGCTCAAAGTAGATCCTTTTACATTTTAGTAGATGTTTCCTCTGTTTTCCTTCTTTTTTTTTTTGGGCGGGTGGTTTTCGACTGGACCGGGCAGCATACCTCCTGTCCGGGGTATTTAGTTAAATGTTCGTAAAATTGAGTGTTGGTTATATTTTACTTGAAGTTACCCCTGCCCTGCTCTGCCCACCGCTCAAATCGACATGGCCCTTAATCGATTTAGCCAAAGCAATAAGCAGGAAAAATGAAGTAGCAAAACTTTTATAAATGTCCGAGTTTCTTTTGGTTTTATTTTAGTTTTCTTCTTATATTTTTGTGCTATCAAAATTGGTCTCGTAATTATCCGACAGCCTCTTAAGTTTACGACTCTATCAATGGCTACTTGCAGCACTTGTTCTAGCTGGCTTTTGTCCATGGTTGATGTAATTATTTCAAATAACTTTGTTAAAGACACGCTCATAGGCAGGCTATTAAAATGTGTGTAAGTGTGAATAAATTTAATCGAGCATACGCCGTGTGGTTCCAGTGACAATTGAGGAATTTCAGATTGAGACTCAAGAGACTTTTGTGCGTTTATTTCCAATGGTAAATTGAGCTTAAAGAAAGACAAGGTTGTATTCGAAATTAATCCAGTTCTTTTATATTACTGAATATATTCTGTGGCATCTCTTCAAGCAGATTTCTAAAAACAATTTCTCTGATAAAATTCGACTTCAATTCTTTTACTCAAAAGCGCAGAAATTTAAATGTGTGCTCGAAGTTTTAACTAAGTTTTGAATTCTTTGAAAATTAAATTGTGTTAACTTAATTTATTGCTGCAACTGAAAATTGAAAGTTTCTTCAGTTGCTTTGGCGTTAATTTATCGAACCCACTGTGGCTTAAATACGTACTCAATTGTATTGTGATTGATTTATTAAGACGCACAGTTCACTCTTCACTGTTCACTGGGTCTCTGCTGTGGCGTTAGTTGACTGAAATGTCACATAAATTGCGTATACGCCGCATGCAACCGCCTCGCCTTGCCTCGACTCGACTCGGCTCGACTGGGACAGGCTGTGTGTTTGATGAATTTAAAGCCCCGCTTGACTTGCAGCCGTTTTCGAACTGCAACAACTAATGGCGCTAAATGCAAAGCATGGCGTAAATAAAAAGTTAAACGATGCTACTAAATAACGAGTATGTTTGCCGGGGCAGCAGCCGGCAAAGCGGCTGGGAAAGCGCCCACGCATGCCACCAAATTGTAGCCACAATTTGTTGCAACAACTCTGAAAGTGGAGCAGCACACACACACACACACACACAGAGTGAGAGAACCCTTGCCGCCTGGGGCCACAGCAAACGCATACATCAAATGTGTCAAAGAGATTTGTTATGCATGACAGCGGGCTGAACAGCAAAAAAAAAAAAAAAAAAAAGAATAAAAAGAACAAAACACAAACCGAGCAAAACTGTGACAGCGTATCTAGCTATAAAACGAGCTGCGAGATAATGTGAACATGGAGGTGGAGGCCATATTTTTTTACGTAATTGAAGTTCCGCCGTGCTAATTGTGACAAATGACAGCAACAGCAGCAGCAGCAGCAGCTGCGAAGTTGGGCTTTAAAAATTTAATGTCAGCCCGCCGAGGTCACGCACCCAGACCCAACACGCGTTGGAATGGTATTTTAATTAAAGTACAGGTATCTTTGGCAACCCGATATGCGAGTTGAATTATTTAACGATTCTTTCTGTAGAGCTATTTTTAGCATTTGCGCTTTAGTAGTTGTTTCGAGTGGGGTATATGCTGATAGCATTAGATGGAATACCCTGCACAAACACAAGCTATAGGAAGGCACCTTGCTGTTTTCTTCTGCACACGTGCTTTATTAAACCGAAGCATATCCAAACTTCTTCAAGAAATATTTTGTGATATGTCAATATATATAGTTGGGGGGATTAAGTGGGGGGATGAAATGTTGTGGGCTGCCTGAAATCTGATTAGCTAGCTATTATAACGAGTGTCGAGCACTAGAACGTCGTTTCCTCTGTGTGCGTGTTTCGAATATAAGCCAGAGTCGGGGCGTGTCTTAGACCTGCCTGGGTTGCGGGTTTTAAATCAAATTGGTTTTCTTCATCACAGTCAGGAATTCTTCGCGGCACACTTCACCATCACCATCCAAGTCAGCCTCGTCGATCATCTCCTGGAGCTCCTCGTCGGTGAGTTTCTCGCCCAGCTCGGAGGCGACACGCTTTAGATTGTTGAACGAAATGCGACCGGTGCGATCGTCGTCGAAAAAGGAGAAGGCCTTTAGTATATCCTGCTTGGAGTCCTTTGCGGCCATTTTCAAGCGCATCAGGTGCAAGAAATCGTTGAACGCAATGCGTCCTGTCTTATCCTTATCGATCTCATCCATCATATTTTTAATCTCTTCCTTGTTCGGCTCAAAGCCCAACGCACGTATTGCGACGCGCAGCTCCTTTACCTCAATAAAACCGGTGCATTCCGTATCAAACAGATCGAAGGCCTTTTTGATGTCAATCTTCTGCTCCAGCGACAGATCAAAGGTCGGCAACAGACGCTTGTTTTTGATCTTGCGAGCTCTCAACATCACCGACCCCGAGTTGAGGGTCGCGCCCGACATGGCGCTGCTCAGGTTCAACTCCATGCCTAAAGTCCTTTGCCTTTGCTCTCTGAACACACACGCACGAAATTAGATAGTGTCAAATAAAAAGACTTTCTTTTCAATTTTTTTTTTCCGTTTTCTTTAAGATAAATAATTTTTTGTTTTATTTATATAAAACTGTGTAAATATGTTTACAACCTTCACCGTTGGTGAGAAGAATATAATCTGGTTTTGGGGCTTTTCCCGTAAAGCTATCAAACGAACTAGCAGTCGCCTACTTAGGGGCGTGGCATGCTGCGTTTACAATGAATGAGGCTTGGTCGAACATTTTTCTATTGACTGAGTATTTGATTTTAATTAACATTTAACTGTTGTCTGCATTATTATCTAGACATAAACTATTTATCAGCTCCTGTTTCATGAGCGGCTTTTATTTAGTGAAAAATAGTAAATTGAATAAACACATATAAATATTGAAAATTGCTGCTGCATTTAAACCAACGACCTGCCTCTTAAACTGTTTGTAAGGATTTTGAGCTACAGATGAATGCAAAATATATTTACTTGGGCGAATGTTTTCTCTACGACAACAAAGAGACGTGAAAGTTGTTGCCTCTCTTTTTGCTAACTCGAAGTATTGTGATTATAAGAATATCCGACAGGTTTGTCTGTATCTTAAACTTTTTAAACTCAAAAGCAATATTTTTCTACGACTTTCATCCTTCTGAATCTTGGAATTGTAAGCTCTGCAAAATAAGGGAACCCAATCAAAAATATGAATCGATTCAGGCGACTAATAAGATTCAATGGTCAATTCGTGGCAAATGAATATTAAATACTGAAATCTCGAACCGGAATATTTGTTCATTTTTTCACATGAATATTTAAAAAATTGTAACTCAAGCTGTGCGCTTATGTCCAAATGTGTTGCCACCAAATGGGGCACATAAAACGACAGCGGAGGTTATGTATTTGGACAGACGGCCAGGTGGTAGATGGCAGGTGGCGAATTTCAGGTGCCGTGTGCCATCTGCCAGCTGCCCAAATGTCAGTCAAAGTTGTTGTTGCTGGAGCTGCTGCGAGTACGTGCCGCGAATTGTTTGCCTATCAAATTTGCCTGCAACAGGCCGCACACACGCGCAGCCAGACAGACAGGCGAACAGACAGGCAGGCAGCACGACACGTGCCGCACAGCTGGCACTGCTGCTCATGATTCCAATTACATAAACATAAGCATTTGCGCTTACCTGCAACTCCCCACCGCCGCCGCCTCCTACTCCGCCGACCAGGCTAGTCAGCGATAATTTCCGTTGACGTTCGCGCTCCAGTCTCATGAGTATCTGTGCGTTCTGCTCACAGGTGTAGGTGTGCGTCTTGCGGCGCCGCTCCAAACTGTATTCGTAGAGCGGACGCGCCGCGTCCGGCTGCAGTTGCGCCTCGTCGCCGGCATCGCAGCTGCACAGCGACTGATTGCTGCGTCCCTTCGCCCGCTTCAGCGAGCCGCGATGCGAGCTGGAGGCGCCACCGCCACCCCGCTCGCTTACAAAGTCCGAGAAGGTGACCACATTGTGATTATTATTGTAGCTATTGTTGTTATTGCTGCCCGCCTCGTAGGCTGTGGCTGGCCGCAGTGCCGGGCCCACAGGTGCCACGCCCGCTTTTCGCTTAGAAGGCGAAACATAGTACACATCATGCTCATCGAACTCGACGCTGTTCAGGCGCTGCGCTGCACAGCCCCCACCGAGCGCTGTGGTTGCGGTTGCCGTGCTGCTGCTGGTGGTGCTGGCCGCACTGTTGCCGCCGCTGCTCAAATTGCAGGCCTGATCCACCAGCGTATGGTGCTGGTTGTGGTGCAGCAGCAGCAGCGGCTCGCCGCGCAGCGAATGCTGCTTGTGCAGACGCGGCGTCTCCAGGCGGCGCAGCTCCGTCATGCTGTCTCTGTCGCACACTTGCTCTCTTTCTCTCACTCTTTGTCTGTCTCGCACACTCTCTTTCTGTCGCCCTCTCGCTTTGCGTAGCTGTCTCTGTTCTTATAGCTTCTGGCTGGCGCTTATTGTCATCACTTGGCTGGCTTAGTTGCCAGTCTCATGTTATATTCATGGCCCACTCGCTCGCATTAGCATAAGACTCTGCTCTGCCGATATCTGCCAGCTGATGTATATATATATATATATGTGTATATATGTGTATATTTGGCACGTGATTTTTTAATTTTAAATGCGCCTTGACGCCTTGGGGCCTGCTAAGCCGGCTAACGATTTCCTTATGTCAATATAGCAAATTCGCAATCGGCTTTTGCCAACCGGCTAACTGTTTCGTTTCGCTGTGCTCCAGCTGCTTCTTCAGCTAAGCCAGCTTCCAGCTGCTGCTCCGGCTCCTGCTTCTGCTGCTTGTCCTGTTTCAGCTGCTGCTGCTGCTGATGCTGATGCCTCTGCTGACAGCAATGTGTGTGCCGTCTCATTGGCAGCCGCTTAGCAATTCGATTTGCCAGCGACTCAGTCACGGATTTTGCCGCCTGCCAAGCTTTGCCTCCTTCTCCTCTTCTTTCTTTTTTTTTTTTAGGCTGTTTGTTCTGTTAATAGACTCGTCTTTCCCGCTGGCCGCGCCTCTAATAACTGCAAAGAGAGCAGAGTTTTTTTTGGGAGGGGGAATGCGTTAGTATTGAGTGCCAAAGAAAAATTGTTGTGTTCTTTTTGGATTTTCATTGTGTGCTTTATGGGCGTACAAAAGGGATGGGCACAAGTGTGCATAATCTGTGTGTGTTTGTATGTGTGTGTGTGTTATTATGTGTGTGTTTCTGTGGGTGTGTTTGTGTATTCTATGCCGCCTAATTGGTTTTTGGTTTCGCTTAATCCGTTAACGTGCAACGGAATTAAATCCCTAACTGGAGTTTGTAAAGTTGAAAACGAATTCTAAAAATATGTTTTTAATTGCTTAAGAAATTAAGAAAAAAAGGGGTAGGAGTTGCCCTCAACCCAGCGCCAAGCTGCCATTACATACACTCCAGCTTATTTCTATACAAAAAATACACATACACACATATTTGCACTAGAGCTCTGCTTGGTCCTCCTGTAGCCGCACACCAAAATCTGGCAAATGCATTCTTAAATAACTTCGTTATTTACAGTCCATTTTTTTGACTATTTTCAAAGCTCAAATATGGTATACTTATGCGCGTATATACCACAGTGCAAGGCTATACTAACAAAATAATATTTTTCCTCCTTTTTTTTATTGAATGGGGAAAGCTATAAAAAATTGTAAAAATAGGTACCAAGTTAAGTTACAAATATATATATTTGAAATTGCCAGGCTTTAGCTCTAGTAGATTCTGGGATAGATGAGTTTACACAGAAAGAAAGAAAGATGAAAGATGGTAAGGACAAGATCTACCCAGTTGACCTGATCAATAATAAGTATATATATTTATGGTGTCGCAGAAGCTTTCTACTTTATTAGAGATTATACTCCTCTTAGCCATTTTCCGTGGGTATTATGTTTGCCTAATCTACTTTCAAAGTTTGCTTGTAAATTGTGGCATATATCAAATTTACTCAAATTTAAGCCGGCAAATGTTTTTAAAAATTTGTTAAAACACGCACGCAATTGCGTTAAACTCTTGTCAACTATTTGAGCTTCGCCCTAAAAGCTTGACGTTTTGCAACACTGCAAAAGAATTAACTCATTACATGCGCTCATTAAGCTATAAGCAAAGTTGATTAAGGCCTTGAAAAAACTTTTATTCAGGAATGTCGCAGCCAGCCAGCACTTGGCCTTGGCTAAGGCGGGGGCGGGACGGGACAGGGGCGTGGCAGACAAGAAAGACAAGAGTCTGACAACTTGAAGTGCCACTCGAAATATGCCCAAGACAAAATGTTTGTTGTTGTCGCCAGAAGAAAGTAAAAGTTGCCGTGGCAAACTTCTTAAAAATACTTAAGAAGCGATAAATATCTCAAAGTGTGCATATATATTTATATATATATATATTTATATATATGTATATATATATATATATGTGTGTGTGTGTGTGTGTGTGTGTATATGTGTATGGCGCACACATATGATAGCTTAGGGGGCGGTAATGTTTTGACTCTTGAAACTTTTGCTCAAGTTGCCTATTTGGTACTCTTCATGTTGTTTGGTTGTTTTTCTTTTTCTCTTGGGTCAGCTTCACGGGGCGTATGGCATTGATAGCGCTAGTGCCACGCCCCCCAGCCCAATGCGACAAATTTGGCATTGTTGTACACCGTATCCAATGGAAATGTGTATGGAGGGGTATATTTAATTTGTGCATGTGTCTGTAACACTCCGATCTCCGATCAATTTTGTTGTTTTTGCTTAAGACTTTACTCCTACTCCTATTTTTTGGATGCTGCCCTTGGCTTTGATACTTACATATAATTGGATGCCTGTTTTTGTCTACCCTAAAAGTTCATAAAAATCAAGAATACTTTTGGCGGGTTAACGAAAAAAGAAGACACAAGCTGCGTTCGTATGGTTCTTCGTATGCACAGTCTTTCTATAGCTTAGCTCGCGTGTGCAGGGTATTCGCTAGTCGCACAATTGTTCTTACTCTTACTCTTAGTTGTTAATATTCATCTTCTTCTTGTTGTTGTTGTGGCTGTTTGCCATACTCATTATCTTTTAACGTTATTATTATGCTGCCAAAGTTGTTCAGCGGCTGCCAATTTTGTTGCTGGCAGCTTTGCAGCTTTAAGCAAATTCCTTTAAATTTCAATGCCGACAAACTTTAGAGTCTAGGCAGCTGCTCAATTATATGTATTTGAAATGTTTGTTGTTGCTTATTAAAAACTTGCCATCGTTTGGCTAAAATACTTTGCCATCAAACGCTTCAAATGTTGCCTGAGCAAATGCCATCTCAATTTTTGCTTTGAAATCATAGAGAAAAATAGAAAAATAGGTATAAGCCTAGCAGTTGGGTGGCAATGACTGCGCAATACTCTGCTCGTGTGTAAGTCAAAAAAGATCTTGAATATGTTTTGGGACATTTGGTTCGAAGCGAAGCAGCATTTATTGGCCTTTTAAATATCTGGCTCTAAAGCTGAATATTAATTTTAGTAAAAAGTCGAAACGATTGCATTTGGCACAAAACCTATAAACACATTTGCACTTTGCTTATAGGGTATAAAAAGGCTCTTAAAACTTCGCGCAAATTCACATAAATTCAGATGAATTCGTCTGTCAATCAAAAAAGGCAACAGCTAAGGCATACGCGATTTTTCTGTATGCTTTTACGAAATTAAAAGGAGAAATCGAGAAAAAAAATAACTGAATGAATGTAATGGGGGAATGCGCGACTACCAGATGCCCTGCATAAGTAGCTAGATCTCAAAAAAAATTTTGAACCAGCGACTTTTCGTTTGTTAACTCTACGCTCAGACAGCGCGGTCCCAGACAAACTCTTCCATATAAAAGTGAGCAGTATTTGCAGGGGCTTTAATCCCAAATTTATGAGTATGTGAGCGCTGGGAAAAGTTTAAGGTTTGAAGACAAATTTATTGGCCTATGCGACGACTTACATGCCGAATTTACAGCCTCAAGCTCTTGTGGTCTGTAATATTGAAGCTCTGCTTAGGATTTTGTGCCTGCCTGTTGCCGGGATAAACTTATTTATGACAGCCTGCCTCTCTATATACAGGGTATATGGCAAGCAGCACAGGCGTCTATAATCAATAACAAATGGCAACTGACAGCCGTTGACAGGCGCAGTCCGGGACTTCTGGCTGTCTCACTTTGGGCTGGGCTTTGACGCACGCACTTCTAATAATAATAAAAATACATTTTGCCTGATGCGTTTCTGGTTTGGATTTTTATTTTGAAAGCAAATTGTGAAGTCAAAGGAAAAATCTGTGAATACATTTTTGTATACAAAAAGCAAATATAAACAGGCGATAAATTTAAGAGCTAGGCATACGGAAAAACTTCATATGCTGCCCACTTTATGGCCAAACTAAGTCGGATTAATTAATTTTGGCATTGATTTTGCAAAAAGCCTGGCGCGTTCTTTGCACTGGGTCAGGTTCAAAAGGGTTTTATGTGGCAGGTCATAAAGTCTAAGTGGGCGCAGTGCTTCAAGTGGGCAATGACAAAAGCGGAGGGCGTGGTTGGCTGGTTGGTTGGCAAAGGACAACCGCTATGAGCAGCGCCCACGCAAATGAAAATCTAATTTAGAGCAACACGCACACAAAGAAGCCCAGCAAAAGGAAGTGGGTGGGGATGGATGTTGGCATTTCAGCGGGGTAGACACAAATGATACATGAGCTGCTGGCAGCAGTAAAAGCTTCGGTTTGCCTTTCATTTGCGTTTAAAGACCCAAAAGGACTTCCGCCTGCAGCGGCCTACAAATTAACATGGCCCCAATCTGTGATTCGCTGTGCTAGTATTCATCTGTCCGTGTGCGTGTGTGTGTGTGTGTCCGTGTGTGTGTGTGTCCGTGCGTCTGTGTGTCCGTGTGTGTCCCATGAATTATGACGAAGCCAGCTGCAGACTTAATGGAAAAAGCTCAGCCTGTGCCCATGCTCAGTCTGGGCACACGCAAGGCGTAAATTAGAAAAAAGTAAATTTCCTATAGCATACTTATTTGGGCGCCCGCCCCACGCTGCGTATGCGTATTATGTGCGCCCTCTAATAAGTTGTCGTACGCGACCTGCCCAGCCTCACATAAATTGAACACGATCTATGCGCTGGATTTGCACGGAAAACTTCGACTGGGTTTCTGCAGGCTACACAAATGTTTGTCTGCGCACTTTTAATTTTGACACGTTCCAGAGAAAAGCAAAGCAAACAAAAAATAGGCAGAAAATATATAAATAAGAAAACACGTGTTCTTTGACATTTCAAAAGCGCCGACAAGGCGTAACGCGTGGCAAATATACGATATACAATATACAATATACATACATATATTTATATTTTAAAATTCCAACGGCAGCGCGTATAATGAGTTTTTCGGCGGCAGCTCGTAAATACATGGGCCGAGGCCCATATATATACTCGCACATTCGCTTATAAAAGTATGTGCCCATAGGTGGGCTATAAAATTTGTTTAACACCAATGCACGCCGCACGCAACGCACACGCCAATCAAATTTATTTCATTTTATATAAATATATTTCTTTTCTTATATTTTCCCTTTTTTTTTTGCTGTTGCCCTGTTTTATGACAGCGCAGCAAATTAATGAAATTTTCGCAATAAATCATTGGCAAAGCGCATAAAAATGCGCACAAAATGTGTAAAGCAAATAAAAAATTTGCGTTAAATGCAAGAAAAACATAAAAATCTTATCTCAAAAAAAAAATGGGTCATCAAATTCCAACAATTATTAATATATACATATAAATGTTCAAATAATGCACTGCCGCAGGTTCACAATTTGTTTGAAGGGTTTTTTTTTATGCATGTATATTTACGAGGAAAAGTTATATGTAGAATCAAATAGAATTTCTGGCAACAAAAAATGTATTTTTCAGGTTGTAAAGCGTCGAGTTTTCTTGGAAATATATTTATTTAAAAATAATATACTGTTTGAGTTTTACTCAAAAAGCTTTTACAGGATTTTTGGCCAGGGTTCATGTTTTATCAAAGACTGAAAGATTGCATAGCAGCCAAAATGTTTGGAAAAAATCCACACATAATCGCTAGCTAAGTGCTTTCTTTTAATGTCAGCTTCTTTTTCTAGAGAGCTTACTTAGTATTTCTTTTGTTTCCCTATTTGTGTTAAATCAAAACTCACTCTTAAGCTTCTTTGAGCATCTGTTTTTATATCCTTGGAGAGAGTATAATAATTGCATCATGAAATATGTAAACCCATAATGTATATATATTCTATGTGATATATATTCTTGAAAATCAGGAAGGTTGACATAGGAATAATGGAAAGAAGAGTAGGTTCTTCTATGGAAAACTGCTTTGCTTATCAAGATATTTTGACCAGCCTTGGAATTTATTGGCTCTCATAGGAACAACAGGTCTAAAAGTAGGTTCTTGTACAATAAAATACTCTGTTTTCAACGATATTTTCATTAAAATCAGCAGCATGTACGAGATTCTGTATAAGTGTATCAAATCTTCGGTGTGCTGAAACTATTCTTACTTTCTCGTGTTTTTTTCCTTCTAAATTTCAAATTAATTATGGCATATTTCTGGACATTTCACGCACACTTTCGAATTCTTCTTGACTTTGCCCAAAACATTCTGGCACTTATTTAGCCAAATAGTCGAGCATAAGCCACCAGCAGACGGCAGACACATTCCATTGCCCGCTCCAAGCCCAAAAAATCCATTCACAAGTCATATTTTTGGACTTGACTGCACTTTTGGTGGTGCGCATAAAACTTTTGCTCCGGCCCGTGTCCAACCCAGCCACCCGTAATCCCTGGGCACCACAAAAATAGTCATCTGGCTATGTGCGGGAAGTGGCCCCAGTTTTGGAATAAAACAAACGCCCGTTTCCCCTCGTCCAGCGTTTCTCTTTGGCAATTCCGCTTGCATCCGTTTCTAAAAAGTTGCGCTGGCGACCAAATTCAAGTGGTTGGGGCCAAAGGCTTTTAGCTGACTTAACACCAGCGTGGAGGACACACACTCTAATATATTGCCGACACCACAGTTAAAGTCCCTCCTCACACGCCCTCAGCCTTCCCTTTAGTGGCCGCATAAAGCTTGAGCTTAAGCATGTCGGTCCAAAAAAGGGTTTCCTTTCCTGCTTTGACTTTAGCCAAAAAATTTGCACAAAAAGCGCCCGCATGAAAATTGTGCGTATGTGTGTGTGTGTATGGGTGTGAGTGGGTGGTTGGGTGGTTGAGTGGGTCAAAAACACAAGTTAACAATGGAGCTCGTGACTTTAAATAAAGAAATAACTTGCGCATAGTTCAAGTCAAACAATGCGCGACGCTGCGCTAAGAATTTAACATGAATACGCTTTTATATATTTTACTCTAGGACTGCGTTTGGGCGTATGTGCACATGGGCGTGTGGGCGTGCCCATGGGCGTGGCACTCGCTTCACTAACAATGCGCGGATGTCTTTGCACAAGTTTTGCATTATTTTTTGTTGCTTCTTTAGTATTTTTTTTTTTTTTTGGGACAGGCTGCGCCAAAAGTTTAGCACTTAATATTTTCTTTACTTTTTGGCTTGTGTCTTAGCGTTGCCTTTGCCCTTTTGGCCATGGGGCAGCGCCTAGCCTGGCTTTAAGACATTCGCTGTTTCATTTTATTTATGAGCCCCGCGTATTTCAACTGCATTTTTGACTTATTTACGTACCTTGCACTTCCGCTCCAGCTGCCCTCGGTGCGACGCATTTGTTTTCAGTCAACCAAAAGAACGCACTGAAAGGAAAAACGGAAAATATATTTTTAATAAAGCATTTTCTCTAATGGATTGTGAGTTGTTTGTCTGTTTATTTTTGCTGGCAGGTGCTCGCCGAGTGCAATATTATGGTTGCTTCAGTTTTTAATATACTTAGGGAATATTATTATTAAGAAATTATGGTGTTCAAAGCACACATTTTCTTGAAGATTATTTTTCACTTTTGTAATTTTTAACTATTTTGAAATGTTTTTCTTTTATTTTGTAACAAATTTTTTAAATTGTTTATATATTTAAGTTATTCAATTAGAGTTTTAAGTTTAAATATTTCTACTAATTAATGTATGATAATTTGCAATGCTTAATGTACCTCAGAATTTGACTGAGAATTTAAAAGGAACTCTTGCGAAATCAAAAATTGGTTTATTGTTATTCGTTCTGTCAGATATTTTCTATTTTCCAATGAGCTTCTCAATTAAGTCGAAAATTGTTTTAGTCAGACAGACTTTCATTTCATTTGTTTCATGCACAAAAACCATAAATTTGAAAATTTATTAAGCATTTAATCGTATAACGGCGCACAATAATGTTATTTTATTTCTAATATGCTTAATTCCCATAGAAAATAACTTTTAAATCTGCAATTGTGCTGCATTACCAAAAAATAGTTTTGCATAATTAAGCCACATACATTACCAGATGCACACACACACACACAAGCATACTCACACGTACACACACACATTCGCACACAGCCAAACGCACAGGAATGCATTTCAATGCGAGTTCAACACATTGTCATAACTAACACAAACTTATTTATCCCCGGGGTCCGATTTATATTACTTCCCCGTTAGCAGCCTCCACCCTCCACACTGCCCGCTGGCCTGGCCCATTGCCACACAGATGCACATTCGTACTGTCCGGAGGTTACTACTCCAAGGTCTGTGCTGTAAATTTATCAGTGTCAAAAATAATAGCGCGCCCGTTTTCGCTTTTAATAATTTCCCTCGGCAACGAGCCGAATGCGAGCATTTGGAGCGGAAATTGCTGCTCGAGTTGGAGAAACGGCAATAGAAAAACAAGTTAGAGTGCTTAGCTCAATGATCGACGATAAGATACTCTTTGGAGTGTAAGCACTTCATGATTTTCAAATCCAGCAGCACAGCTAAATGCAAAACTGCAAATTGAAGTTTGTTTTTCTGTATATTTCTTTTTAAATATATATAATAAAAGTATGAGAATTAAAAATAAAAATAACTTTGAAAATATAGTTATATATTATTAGATCAAATCTATATTTTGATCTATATTAAACTGTATTTTTCTATACTCTTTAAACTATATATTTTTCTATATTTTGTATACCACATTCATTAAATTATATTTTCTTTCAACAATTTTTCTATTTTGTGAACTAGATTTTTATTCTTTTAGCTAATAATATATATATACATTTATCAATACTTTTTTAGTTTTTTTAATGCTTAATTTTTTAACTTTATTTATTGCAAAAGTTTTTGTGTGTTAGCCTGACATATGCAATGGAATTTTTATTTTAAATAGATCAACTTTCCATAGAAGGATAATGCAAATTGAAATCCCTTGCGATAGAAGGTATATAGTTTTAGTATAAAAATGATGTGGACAACACATGCTTTATATAATTATAATAAATAAACATCAACATATACTTGCTTTGCGTATTACAGGGTATATTAATGCCTGCCAAACTACAGCAGTGGGGCATTAGAACAATGGTTCTGCCTTAGTGCATGCGCTGCAGGACACCAGGACGCCACATGCCATGCTCTACACACACAGACACACACACACACACACACACACACATGCAGACACACACTCAAGCACACACACACACGCACACTTAAGTATACACACTCCACATATATGTGAGTATTTGTTCTTTGGTGTGCCATCTAAATAATTTCAGTTGCGAACGGTCGCTGCCTCGCGGCGTTTTTCGGGTAATGGAATTTGTGCAGCCCAATTGGGAAAGGAAACATTGCTCCAAAAATTTCCGGATGTCGCACGCGCATTTTGCGCATTTACTTTTCCATTTATTCTGGGTAAGGCAATGCATTTGTTTGCCCGCCCAGTGTCAACATCAAAGCCATCAATTATTTAATTAAAGTTGGCTTTGTGCAACGCCTGAAATCTTTTATTTTTTCGCAGTCTGTAAATTTGTTTGATTTCTGAACAAAAATTAATTTAATTACGTTTTTTGTCAAAATTATTTACATTTTTGAATGCGAGCAAATTAATGTTGACACTTGCAAACTGGCTTTGTTTTGGAATTTGAGTTGATATTTTATTGCGACCACAATTGTTACGACAGACATAATTTTATTATTGGCTAATTGTGAACTCAATAAAAAACGAGAAAGGTTTCCATGATTGAAGCCAGACGGACACAACTACAGCCATTCGCCTGTTCAGGCTGAGCTGAAATATAAATATCGGATATGTCTGCTTCTATTACACATTCCACAATCAAATTATTATACCCCCTAAAAGAGTAAAATGCTAAGAAAGGAGAATAATTCATGCATAATATTATTAAAATATGTTAGTTTATGCGCTTCACATATTTATGCGCTGATTGGACAGCTGAGCCTCATTGGCATAAGTTTCGCTGCAAATGTTTCTCGCTTGAGAATCTTTTTTAATATTTGACAACTGCTTGAGGAGAAAGTTTTTTATTTTTACCACAAATTTAAGTGCCAAGGGCTAAAATACGTTCCATTAGGATTTCAGTACCCTGCAGTTGGGCACATTAAGCAGAAACTTTGAACATAAATTCAAGACCTCACACTCATAAATACGAACAGACTTACATCGATAAGAGGCCCAAACTTGAGAGCTGCGAGCTGCGATGTTCAAAGCATATAATAATAAATAAAATATGCAGCACTGTTGGCAAAAATTGCCAACTTTTTGTTCATTTCGCTTCGGTTTTTTTTTTTTTTTTTTGTTGAAGCTATTGACTAAATACTTTGGCAAATTCATAAATTGAGGCACATCATAATAGCATAAATATTTAAAGGATCCAAAGATGCAAAGCAACGGAAAAATTACTAAGCAAAATGCCCGAGAAAATTGAGTTGAAAACTTTGGCCTTTTTATATGGGCAGTGCGTGCGCGGCGTGTGGTCCACGCTTCAGGGAAGGGGAAGGTCCCCAACTTTATTGACTTGATTTCTTGCGCAGCACAAGAAACTAAGAATGAGCGAAGCGAGTGGTCAATGTGAAGGTACCCTGTAAATAAAGAGAGAGCTGCTGCTTTTGGTAGTTGGTCTGAATACAAGTTTCAGCTATAGTGTCAGCTCTTCATTTATCTGATATCTAGTTTAATAAGCGGAGACGCTGGTTCAAACGCTGAACCCATGGCCAAGAAATAGTTGGTTTAAAATTATAATAAATCTCTCTCTTGAATGTTAGTTCCTGCATCTGACTTCTAGTTTAAGCATCGCAGACACTGGTTTAAACTCTGATTTCATGGACTTAATTAACTTGGTTCATTAGTTCGTTAGTTCAAATCTTGCAACTGATTTCATTTAGAATTTATTTTTATTTCAGAAATCTTTATTTACTATTTGAATTTATTTTCGTATTTAATTTAACCTTTTTTAATAGTTGATAATAATAATATACAAGTACTTGAGAAGCGCATGATAAGTAAAAGAGAACCTTAATACTCTCTAGTTTTAACAGTGTCTATTTCAATTACTTTGACAGACATTTGTTGATCTAGAACTCATATAAGCTCTTCGATCATTTGTGTACAGGGTATACAAACAATAACAGTTCCAAGTTGCCAGCTGGCAGTTGTTAGTTGCCACGCTTGCTTATTCATGAGCATTCATCAAAGCTCACTTAATGCTCCATATTGGCCAGGGCTTAAACAGTTTTGACCACAAAAAAAAAAAAAAAAACAACAACAAACTTCGACATTTGGGAACGTCATGTAATAATCCACATTGATATTAAATAGCCACCAAAAACGGGAAAAACTTTTTCATTCACATGCAGCAACGAACTCTGGGCACAGTGTCTATTACCTTGACAATTAGGGCGCACGTGGGCGCAGCACATTGGGTAAGATGTTCGGCACGAGTCGAACTCAAGTCGAGTCCATTATTATAGGCCAAAAACAAACTGTAAGTGTGCTTTTGTGGGGAGTGCACGACTAGGAGATACCCTGAGCCTAGTTCTACATGTACAAACAGATATATTATGTATGAAGTATGCAAAGTGGAATTCGGAGTGCATAGTTTGGTCTTTGTGAAATTGTGGCAGCTTAAATCCTGCTAGAAAATGTAAGTATATACCATGTTAGTTCTTAGATACTTTCTTCTGCCTGTGACATACTTTTGCACAAAATGAATATACACCTTGTGCCCACTTCCAATGCGTTCAGGGTATATATATTGGGAGAAAAAAAACGGACATTAGACTTTAATAAGCCAATAAGTTTGCGCTCAGGTGCCTCGTCGTGCCGTTGTCCTTCTTGCCACTCAAAAGGCACTGCATTAATATTTATGCGCGTATTAAGCTTGATTGTGGAACAGAGTCGAACTGTTGCTATTGCTGTTGCTGTTTGTAGGCCAGGCCATGCGTGCGTTATAAATAAAATTAAATGTATCAGTTAAGCTGAATTTGGTTCTTGACGGTGTCGATAAGTCGACTTGGCCAGCGGCTAATGAGATTCAACTCGGGCTGGCTTCAGGCGGGTTCCTTAGCTGTTGCTCGGGTTAATGATGCGTCCGTTAGCATTTAATGTCTCGAGGTGCTTTACAGCGATGTGATAATCCTCGAATATGGTAGTGGCAAGGGCTCTGCTCGTCTAGGGGCAGGATTTGAACCCACTCGCCCTGCCAGTGTGATTTGTGGTTATTATCGAGAAATTGTTTGCCCAACTTTGAAGTATTGTGCTGGCGCCTGAACATGCCGTTAAATATTGGTTAGCTGAAGCATTAAATATATGTTGGTTTCTGTGA